CTTTCCCACAGTAAGATACTAATCCTTGAGCCACCTTGTAAAAAGTATTACATGTAAATTCACCGTTCTGATTTTGATTAGGGATTTAAAAAAAAAAAAAGAAAAAAAGAAGAAAAAGAAGTACATTTTGAAAACAAAGCAGTCAAAACATTTGTCTCTGGCTGACTCCTCTGAAAAAGCCTAAAGCAATTTCAATTTAAAAAAACCAGCATCTTCAAGCAGCCTGGATCCTTTCATTAATGCAATGGTTCATATTTCTTTATTTTCTTCTCGAACACAGAGAAAATTGTTCAAATGCAACAGCCAGGGACATGGTGGCATTCATATCCCCTCACGTAAACTCCTGTAGTGCCTAATTCTCTCCACTTATGGTAAAGAAAGCCTAGAGTGAAGCTCAGATGGAGACAGCTACACTGCCAGTGCCTGTCTTTGATCTGAAGAATGCTATCTAAACTACAGCGTGGTTTCTTCAACTGAGGGGACACATAAAACAGACACACTGCTTCTCTATGCAGAAAACTTAAACTTGCCACATTCTCCATATCAATGGCAATGCTATTCTACCTTAATGCTCCTGTCAGCGTCACAAAATCCACATGTACACTATGAATACACATACACTTTGCACCAACTGCTTATTTTTTGCTCATGCACAAAGACTGCTAATTTAGTATACTTGTAATTGCAACAGTTAAACAAAAAGATCCTTCCATCCCTCCAACCAGTAAGTTACCTATGTCTTACCTTCTATTACACACAACAGTGAAGAAAGAAATCCACTTCGAGGCATAGAATAGTTTAGGTTAGAAAAGACCTTTAAGATCATCAAGTCCAACCATTAACCTAGCACTGTCAAGTCCACCACTAAACTAAGGGCCACATCCACACATCTTTTAAATCTCTCCAGGGATGGTGACTCCACCACTTCCCTCGGCAGCCTGTTCCAATGCTTCACAACCTTTCTGGGGAAAAAAATCCTTCCTAATATCCAATCTAAACCTCCCTTGGTGGAACTTGAGGCCATTTCCTCTTACGCTATCGCTTGTTACTTGGGAAAAAGAGACCAACACCCACCTCACTACAACCTCCTTTCAGGTAGCTGTAGAGAGCAGTAAGGTCTCCCCTCAGCCTCCTCCAGGCTAAACAACTCCAGTTCCCTCAGCCACTCCTCATAAGACCTGTTCTCCAGGCCCCTCACCAGCTTCGTTGCCCTTCTCTGGACACGCTCCAGCACCTCAATGTCTTCCTTGTAGTGAGTGGCCCAAAACTGCACACAGCAGTCGAGGTGTGGTCTCACCACAAGTACAGGGGCACGATCACCTCCCTACTCCTGCTGGCCACACTATTGCTGATACAGGCCAGGATGCTGTTGGCCTTCTTGGCCACCTGGGCACACTGCCGGCTCATGTTCAGCCGGCTGTCGACCAGCACCCCCAGGTCCTTTTCCGCCGGGCAGCTTTCCAGCCACTCATCCCCAAGCCTGTAGCGCTGCATGGGGTGGTTGTGACCCAAGTGCAGGACCCAGCACTTCACCTTGATGAATCTCATACAATTGACCTCAGCCCATCGATCCAACCTGTCCAGATCCCTCTGCAGAGCCTTCCTGCCCTCGAGCAGATCAACATTCCTGCCCAATTTGGTGCCATCTGCAAACTTGCTGAGGGAGCACTCAATCTCCTTGTCAGATGATTGATAAAGATCTTAACAAAACTGGCCCAAATACTGAGCCCTGGGGAACACCACTTGTGACCAACTGGATCGAACTCCGTTCACCACCACTTTTTGGGCCCAGCCATCTCGCCAGTTTTTCACCCAGCAAAGAGTATACCTGTCCAAGCCATGAGCACCCAGTTTCTCCAGGAGAATGTGTCAAAGGCTTTACTAAAGTCCAGGTAAACAACATCCACAGCCTTTCCCTCATCCTTTAAGTGGGTCACCTTGTCATAGGAGGAGTCACTAAAACCCACCTCAGCTTTCCCAACATTATTCTTTGTCATAAATGCCACATCTTGATTTTGTAGTGCACTTAAGACTAGGAACTGAAATACAATAAATACGAAAAGGCATCAGCTTGGGCCACCCTCTTCATGCATCCTCAATATCTAAACGGTCTTGTGAGAAACCTTAACACTTACTTAAAAAGCACACAAGTACCTCTGATCAGCTGCATTTCCACTGTTGAAGCAAAACAAAGCCACGGTGCTCACCTCTCCTATCCCTAGAGCTCCCTCATTAAACAAAACAACAGCAATAACAAAAGCCAAATATCTGAAAGTGATCGTTTACTTCAGAGCAGTACTTCATCAGACAATGGAAGTGTATTATCTCAGTTATTAAGTTTTACTTCCAATAATGGGTAACAGAAGTCACCTGTTAACTACTGTAATAAACTCATCTAACTTCATAGACTGAGACTGACTGTTTTCCTTCCCCTAAGTCAGGGAAAAAAAAAAAATTCAGATTAATTATGTGCTCTGTATTGCACCCATTTAATCACCACGCTCTAACTCATCAAAAGCAAAATTCCAGAACTGTAGCATGAAGTCTTTATAAAACATCAAAGTAGACAACACCTCAAGGATACTAGAAAAAAAAAAAGTGTAAGTGCTAAATTAATACAATTATATCTGTAATACTAAAGGCCCTTTCCTTTCCCAGAACAACGTGGATCTTTGTTCTCATACAATGATGTATACTTTAAGAATTCAGGGACTGCCATTATCTACAAATGTCTTTGTTTATAGTTCACTGATGACTGTTCATGGCATGTTTTTAAATCATGAAGGATTTTTTTTTCCCCCTCGCTTGATAAACTCTTGTCTCCCACAGTGTTCGCAGAATGAAAAGGACACACTGTAATAAATAACTGACCAAAACATGAAAATAAAACACCCTAAAAATTGTGACTACTAAAAGGTTCTACATCTTACTTGCGTAAATCCAATTGGACATTATATCACAACAAACCTTCAGCTGTCAACATACAACCAATTTTTATCAAATGGAGCCTAGAAGTTCTCTATACTTGATGTATAATATAAGATTTTAGCTTTAACTGCAGGTCATTATTTATATTACTGACATGATAGCTCAACTCAGTTATCTTAAACTTTTATTCATCGGAGAGTTTAGGTTTCTGCAGTATCTGAACAAAAAAGTAATTTGTTAGAAATCAGCACCTAAACAATGCACAGAAAACAGAAACAATAATTACATTACTATCACTCACCTGCATGAGTTCATTGCTTTCAATCAGACTGTCTTCCAGCATCTCCTGGGTCAGCTTGCCCATGGTACTGTAAAACTCATCTGCAGTTTCACAACACTCTATTTGCCTATGTCAAAATACACATTGGTTTTTTATTTTACTTTTACATGTGATTATATACCTCCAAACCGAAACTGAACTTTCTGTCATCATGAGACATGCAATTCCGTTAGTCACCTTAATTCTTAAGTTTATTGCAATCCTCCCTACACTTTCAGATAATAAAACTGTGCACATCATGCTGGTGCAGTAAAAGGATGCACTGAGCACAGCTAACTGTCCTGACTGCTCATGATAAAGGATTCTTGCATGTCCAGACAGGTTATTCCCTCTGTCCCTTTCACTTCTACAACATGAGAAATCAATTAATCCTGCCTTCTACTAGCACAAGGGAGCTCTCCTATTAGCTCAAAAAGGGAATATAAAGATTTCTTGACCGCCTTATCACCCATTCTTCACTATGCACCAAACAGCTGAATTAACTGGCTGAACTGTCTTTTTGTCAGATGGGAACATATTTGCTAGCCAGAAAACATTCCGGTGGAGTAAATTAAGTATAGGTGTATTTATATATGTCATTGTATTCAAAAGAGCTGAGCTCACATAATGCAGAAGGAAGGAAAATTCACTCATACCCTGCATGTTGGTGAAGGCTATTTCTAAATTAGAGACACAGACTTTTTTTGCTTGATTTTAGGTTTTTTTGTTTTGGTGGTGCGGATTTTTTTTTGTATTGGGTCTTCTGCAGGCTTGGGGGGGTGTCAGTTGGGGGTTTTTTGTCTTTTTTTTTTTTTTTTTTTTTTCATATTTTTCTTTACGTTTCTAAAGACACGGAATAATCACCCACAGAATATCAACCAGAAGAAGAGAAAGATGAGTAATATGCTTTCATGAGTTGCTGTTCCACACACATTAGGGTCAGCCACTAAACATTGCCTCCCATCAAGTGAAAAATTTGTTTTATTTCTAATCCAAACAAGTGCATTGCTGGTTACATATTCTAGCCTCCCCTGTAAAATACAGCTGCTAGAATGATCAAAAAAGTACACTGCCTTTTTTTCTTAAGGATTAGAAGAGGAAGATTCCCTTGATCTTCAGCATCTACAGGAAACAACCATTGAACTATGAAATTCCTACTGAAATCGTAACATAGTTTAGCTAAAAGAATGATTGAGTAATAACAATAATATATATTAAAAAAAAAACCAAACAGTAGAAACAATGGTTATGTAGCCAATTATCACATTGTGATACCTTCCCTGGTACCTTCAGTCTCTCATGACCTCCACATATCGCTCTTTCTACTGCGCCTATTTTTAACCTCCCCATTCCTTCACAGTCTCCCTCAAAACAGAAGTATGATTGAACTACCCACATTTTAGGAAAAGCACTTCTCACCCTGTTTTCGTGTCTAGAAAGAGAGCCTTGAGAAGCATGAATATCATGAGACTATGATCACTGTTTCAGGTCCAACTTCTTTAACCCCACCCCACCCCGTTCTATTTCTAGTGAAGAAGAACAAAATCACCATCTTCTCCCATAGTGCCTCATCTTTTACTTCCTCATCTCATTTGATAACATTAATCACAAACCTACTGTATTTCAATTCTTGTTCAGTTTCAGTGACTCATCATCTTCCGGATCTCTGGTTATCCCACCAGCGTCCCCTTCTGTTAATTGCCCCCAAATCTGCCAGACCTTCTCCTACTCCCCACAAACAACAGTTACAAGGCGTGCAGTATGATCAGCTCATTCTTTTGGACATATTCTTATAGACTTCTTCATTCTGTTCCTTCCAATTTTTACAAAATACGTTTCATTTTTGCTTTAAGTTTTACAGTGAAATCTTCAAAGCAGTGACTTTCTTTTTTATCATGTCATGAGTTGGAACCTTCGTAATTACAGCTTTTAAGTGCACAGAGACCCAGTGCAATAGGACCTTTTATGTGAAGGTATGGTAAGAAGTAATAAAGCACAATGGGACTACACATAGCTTCATCCTAATGCAAATGATTCATGCAAGTTTCATTCATGAACTGAACAAATAAAGCTCTTGGGAAATAATTATTCTAATTATTATTCTTCAGACTGGAAATTAAATATACTAAACAAAGTCTCTCACAATGCTACCAGCCTAATTTATTCAGAAAGAAAAAAAGAACTGAAACCTCCAAGGACAGAGCTGAACATAAATCCCAGTGGTTCAGTCTCAGGGAACGAGTGTTGATAGGCATCACAAGAAAAATTTGATGCAGCTGCTAATGCCAGCTGAACTAATATCGGCTGGACCTGTCAGAGCTCACACCTCCTACTGAAGTCACTGACAAAACTCATTTCTCTGGGAGAACTGTACACGCTTCGGAATGCAAATATTTGCTATGACAACAGAGGGGTTTAGAAGAACTAACTATCTCCTGTGTTTTGTTCTACATGGTGAGTTTTCAAGGCCATGAAGGACTATGACAGAAACTTGGTCAGAACGTGCTTAAAAGCAGAGAATTTTAGGAAAATTTGTTTGCAGGAAAGAACCATGGAACACTAAATCATTCTCTTAGTAACACTGAACTGTTTTCTTGGGTATAGCCAATGGGCTCAAATCCTTAAGTGAAAATAAGGGAATTGACATCCCCAGCTTCAGGTACCCAACTAAATTAACTAGTCACCCTCAAGTCTCTCTGTAGGCATTGCCACAGAGTATTTACCAACTCCCTCAGAGGTCTATGTTCTGAAAAGTCCAACCAACCTTTTAGCATAGCATGAATACATTATATATAGAGAACACAAACAACAGGAGACATTGCCTGCAGGAACAGTCAATTAATTAACATGCCCATTCTGACACAATGTCAGAAGCACATTTTTGGGGAAGTCAGAGAGGCATTTTGTGCAACTTTTTCAAAGCAGAATGATTCTCTGAAAGATCACATCTTGTTTAGAATTGGAACACATTCTTCAGAACAACCTAAGTTACACACATTGCTCACACTGAAAATAAAAATCAGATAAAAGCGACCACTTACTCTCCTAACTTTGCCCAGATAGCCAGAGCTACTCTCAGTATAATTTCAGAGCCTTCAAAGAATACTGAATCCCAGATCTTCAGAACTGTATGATTAGGCAAGCAAGTGGCAAAGAGGGTCAAAAACCACTGCATTGTGAAGACATTTGTAAGTGGGGGTTCATAGCCTCCTGAAATAAAATTAAAAAAAGAAACACTTAAAGTAATTTTAATTTACTATTATTTTACAATTAGCATAGACTGCACACTGAAATCCACCAGAGATTCTATTACCTCTGGTACTGCTCAAAACTTATTTAGCCTGCAGCTGTCCAAAGATAGGTGAGAAAGAGCGACAGAAAAATGACACACTCGGTCACCTTTTGTTGTGCTGCACTGCAAAAAGCTCTAAGCAGCAGCATTGGGTTTGGACTGTAAACCCTGGAAAACACCACTATGCCTTTTTTTTTTTTTTTCTTTTCTTGACTCAGAAAGATTGCTTCAGCTTCCCCAAAGCCATATGAGCTAAAAGTTTTATCTAAATAAATAAATTAAAAAAAAAAAAACCCCACCACCAACCCCTCCCCAAAACCCACTGCATTTCTTCAGAAACTTTAAGTACATGAAGGTGAAGGCAACTGTCTCTATAAAGTCTTATCTATTGTTTTAATATCCTGATGCACTGCCAGCTTAGCAGAAGCGACTGTAACACATTCAGTTTTCCTTTTGGCTTGTTAAGTTTCAAACAAGATTTGGTATTTCAGCATGAAACTCTGAAACATCACTTTCTTGGTATGCTCAGAGAACACTTGTGCATCCCAGCTATCAACTGATGCACTGAAGGCCATGACCAAAGAGGCTGTTGCCTGTAAAAACACTTTCAAATGACAAATACTTCCTTGATATCCTTTCTTTGTTTTTATACAGTTTGGGCACAGTCAAAGTTTATTTTTACATGGAACATAGTAGCAGTTCTTTTCTAAAATGGAACTGAGGGTGCACTTAGCTTCCAGACTGAAAAAAAAAAAAAAAAAAAAAAAAAAAAAAAAAAAAAAAAAAAAACACAACACAAAAAAAAAAAACCCCCC